AAAGTCACATCAACAATTTAATATTGTGCTTACAATTTGTCACTAGCGTTATCCGTGTACCTATTGAAAATGGAATTGGATAGTTCAAATTTTAGTGTAATAGTAATGGGGTCTTATTTAAAAGTAAAAAAAAAAAAAAAACGTAAGTTTTGGGTTCATCCTTACTTAGCTAATAATACCAACAGAAATGCTTATGCTGCTTCAAGAGAGTTATTGTTACATTCAAAACGTTTTGAAACTGTTGTTTAAAAGACTATACATGTCAGTACAAGCTGCTGAAAAATGGAAAACAATAGCTGATAGATTTCAATATCTGTGGAACTTTCCAAACTTTATAGATGAATAAACAATTTTAATATGATATAAAAAAAGAATAGATGTATTATATACTATATTATTTCTAACAAATTATATAAATATGTATGTAAAATGTAAATAAACATGTAAAAATATAGAAAGACAAAAAATAACATTTTATTTAATTATCTCCGAGTACAAATGTACATATATACAAGAAGCACATTAAAATACAAGATTCCGAAATTGGATTCATGAAATTTTAACTATTTATCGTACCACTCACTGATACTTATGGAAAGTTGTTAGACAAATGATATAATTAAAATAATCGATGTTGGTCAGGCAGGGAGAAATAGTAACAATGGAACTTGTTGATTAAGCTGATAGTTAGATATAAATAGTCTTGATATGCCAACAAGACGTATTAAATTGCCTTATAACGTAGAGGATATACAAATGTTTCCTTACTATTTTGTCTCTAATGAAGTATTTCCTTTAAAGCCTTATTTGATGAGGCCATGTTCAAAATAAGTACTTGATACTAAAAAAAGAATTTTTAATTATTAATTAAGCAGAGGAACAAAAACAATAAAATGTGATTTTGAAATGAAGACTAGTAAATTTAAGGTACCAAGTACACAAATTTTATGAGTAAATGAAAAAATAATTAACAACTAGTATAGTTTGAAGTATATTTATAGTAAATAAATTTATTCGATCAGAAAAAAAAGAGCTTATCAACCACAGTATCAAAATAATAAGCAAAATGAAATAAATATAAATATTATAATTGAATTAGAAAATTAAAATAACAATTTGCCAATCAAAAATTTGGCATTCGGGCTAAGAGATTACCAATCTAACTATTTTAAGCAACCACAATCTGCATTACCATGGTAATGAAATCACTGTAAATCATAAAATAATAGTATTTAATACTTATATAATATATCTTTTTATAATGAGTATTAAATAAGTATTAGTCATAAACCATAGTTATTATAATTTAACTATTATATAATAAAATAAAGTGAATTCCAAATAAAATTAAAATTGAAATGTATTCTTTTCAAAATTAAAATTAAAAATTGTAAAATATATTAATCAAATATTTACTATTATAATTAATAATTAATAATAAATATACTTTTATCCTTTAATAATTTTTCTACACTTGCTTATGCTGATTCAGTTACATCTCGTTTGGAGTATTCGGGTAATTTATAACTTAACAGAGAAGAATATTTTTTATTTCTGCAACAAGTTTTATGTTATTAATGAGATTGTCTTTTTTGACTAAGTTTACCAAAGTTTCAGATGACTGTTGCAATGATAAAACTAATACGTATAATATTCATCGTTCGGCATAGAATCTACAAAAAGATAACAATAAAATTAGATAAAATGAAATATTTAATAAATTATATTATTAGCTATACCTATATAAATAATGATTTATACCTGATTGGCGATTATTTATAATCTGTGTAGTGTGTACGTTATACACAGCAACCGGCAATAATAAAAATCAAATATATTCACCGTATTATTATCGATCAAAAATAATAATAATCCATTGTATAAGTACCTATTTTTTAGTTAAACGGAATCAATATAAGTAGGTAATAATTATAGTTTTTATATCAATTATACAAACATCGAATTCAATATATGCGTACAAAAGATATTGTTTGTAATTTTTATAAAAATCTGTGAACTCTGTGTAGAAATAACTATACAAATAATAATAATATAGTTAATAAATAATAATATATTAAAGTTTATTCCCATCCATATATCGAAATTTATTATTATATTTATTATTCGAAATTTCTTCGAACAATAAATTAATCCAGTTCGATCAAAACAATAAAATGCATTATACTAGCGACAGATGTTCGTTGGTCATCGTCGAATGCTATGCATTTTATGAGTAAATCTCTATCAACACGACACACATGCTGATATTATTATAACACGATAAACGGAGTAACCTTTTCGAATAAAAAGATTGAAAATAATACATTACACACGATTAAGTGCAGCAGAACATCTGGCGGCGGCGTCGACTACCCGCGGTTGTACTCCTTACATTATTATAACAATAGACCGAGACGCTCGGAAAAAGGTAGTCGTATTTAAGGTATAACACGGCTATTATTATGTGAACGCCGTTTATACAATAAACACTAATTTATAGGTCTTAAAACGGACGAAAAATGATCCGAAAAGAACCCGGCTGCTGCAGTACGAAATATAAAATATAAATATTATAATACAAGAAAAAAAAACGGGAATGGTCTCGTGGAAATAACAGGTATGATGCATTATTATTAAATTCTGCAGGTATATTATAAGGAGAATAAGAGAGTGCCCAGTCACTATTGTCTTAATAATAATGGGAAGTATAAACACGACGTGAACAACGGGTTTCGGCGTTCGACAAATATTTGCACGCGTGCCCGAGTTCTAATGTTCTACCTATGTCGTATCTGTACCTGTACGTGAATTATTATTCCAAACTCGGAATATTATTATTATATTATTGTCTTTGTCTTTTCGATTATCCAACCACGATGAATACGGACAAAAAAAATATTATGTTCTAAACCACGCGTCACTTTAAATTATAATATATTTTATTAATTAATAAAATATATTCGTTTTAATGCAATCGTTGTATTATACTATAATAATGATAATTATATATCGTAGTGACTAGTGATAATACGAATAATGAGATTATTGTACTTTTTATGGTAGTTGTTTTGCTGACGTGTCTGCAATCATCAGATAAGTGAAATTAAAGTTGGATACTAGGTACTGATACTAATTAATATGAACTGGATCTATGAATACAGAGTTTTTACTTTACTGATATGTCAAATCAATCGTTTTACAAAATTAAACAAAGCTTTGTTATACAAAAAAGTTCTAGACTTAAAAACTAATGCATTTTCATAAATTAAAAGTTCAAAACATAAAGAACTCTATGTGAACTCTGACGATGTGAATATTATTTTTTAAATTTAAATTAATTTAGAGTTAGGATCTTATAACTAAATGAAACTTTTAACATAATTAAAATATTTAATAAAAAACAGTGAATTTTCTAAAAATGTATTTTAAACCCCTAAAAAAGCCATTTATTTATTTTATTTATTGATTTTAATTTATCTTATATAAGTATAGTCTATGGCTATTACAGGTTATAGCTGATTAAAAAATTAAATATTTTAAGATTCACACGTAATACATAAAGACACTGAAATATATAAAAATAAATCGAATTTATCGTAAGTTAATATTTTTTAAATATTTCCAGTTTTCTTTTTTTATCAGTTTTTCCCAATTATAAAGAAATATTCTTACTATTGTCCCCCATAGTACAAATTTATTACTAAAAAATAAAAATCACTTTCAATGTTGAAGATTATAGAGCAAATTGTCTGCTTTAACATAGTAAAATACAATACAAATGAAAAAACCCATTGTAAGTTTTATGGACTTATTATGATGGTAATGGCCATTAAATTTAACATAACATGTTAAAAATAAATATTGACCTTTCAAGTAATTCAAGTACAAACACATTTTATAAAATGTTAATGAAAACATCAACTCAAAGTTTAAGTAATATAAAAACCCATAAAGACTACTAAAAAAATTTAAAAATAGCTAAAAAATCTTTTTTTTATTTTACGTAGTATGTATAAAAATCTAAATTATATATTACCTGAGTAGGCAGTATTGCCCAACGTGTTGTATTACTTTCTCTCTCAAAATTACAGTAGCTAGCTAAAGAGTAACGTTGTACTTATTTAGTTATTTAACTCAAATTTAATAAATTCCCTCTCCCCTCAAAATGCATTCACATTAAAACATTGTATTTAAAATATTTTTAGAATACCGTGTACTTGAAACACATTTGTAACCTGAAGACCATCATATCAAGTAATCAAAAAAAGAGACGAAGATGCATTTGCACATTGTCAGGATTTTTTTCAGTGGTAAATAATTATGCATACAATTTTTATTTTTATGTTTTTACATAATTAATATAAAAAACTATTAATTTTTAATTTTTAAAAATTTCAGGGGGTCCTGACCCCCCTTCACTTGGATACGTGCCTTAATGCACTAAAACTCCAACCCTGCTGTAGTTATATCAAGCGTTCATCTTTATTATTATATTACATTTTAATAAATAATCTTTCAGTAATCGATCTCAGTCTTATTTTCGGTATTTTACTAGTTTAAGATTGTCGATATAGTCGTCATTCGATGCATTTATACTATTTACAAATAACTATACAATATATAAGGTATATTATGGGAGAAAATGATCCATGTCGGTGGAAAATGTGTTTTATGTCCAAAAATTGTTGGTAAGAAAATATTTAAATATCCTTTTACTATTCCACTCATATATAGATAGTTTAAAATGAATTGTATTTTATATTATACAGTGAATGGTCAATGGTACAACAGAAAAAACTGAATACTGCTAATTTATGGGTGTGTAACTGAATATAACTATATGTAATAATTGTAATTCAAATTATTGTTTTTTGTATTCATATAATACAAAATAAATATATACGTATTATAATATATATATATAATTATTATAAATATTTAATAATTAAACTAAGATTTGTTTTTTTGAAATATTGATTAGAATAAAAGTTATAACATAGTTATTGAATTACATCTGTCAGTTGTTTTTTACATTCTGTACTTGATAAATTTACATTCAATTCTACATCATAATCGTATGTCTGTATGTATCCCGTCTTGCAAGTAGAAAAATGTCTGACTGCGCCCCTGTTTAATAACCATTCTAAGTTCGTCTGGTCATATGATGTTGGTTGTTTTTCACCGGTTACGTATTGATTTGCTTTATCAACAATTGTTCTAATTTCGTCAAACATTTCTTTTAAATAATTACATTTCCATTCTCGTGATTCTTTTTCCTATGTGAAACAACCATAATGATAATAATAATGATAATAAAGGATCATGTAACTAGTGTATAATAACAGTAGACTAGTAGGTAATGCTTCACATAAACTGATTACTGGTAATAGGATACAGGCAATGACAAAGTTGATTCAATATAGTTTTATAGAGAAATCATATCACCTACATGGAAACATTTAAAACCATATATGTACACTACTGTCACTACTTTACCATAACATAATTAAAAACAAAAAAATAACAGGGGTATTGAAACCAAAAAAAAAAAGAAGAATATTATGATATTAATTTAACTAATAACAAAATATACACCTTAGATTCTTGATTTGTCATATCCCTTAATGTATCTACTTTTTTTAGGTTTTGAGTAGAGTGAGAATGTATTGTTTTTATGACTATTATGTTTTCGCTTGGTTAAAAACGCTAAAATTGAATAAGTTGTTATTACTCAAAAGTGTTTGCTTTCAACAAAATCAATTTTCTTATTTTATTGTGATTTAAAAACGAATAACTATAGATAGTTTAAATGTTCATAAAATGTTTATTTCAGTAATTATTATATATGTGCATGATATCATTTCCAAAATAATTTACTATTTTAAACTATTTTTTGATATTTTAAATCGAATATAAGGTTCTTTCATAAGTAATTCATACTGAAACCAAAAACCTAAAAAATTATTAAACATAATTTTTTCAGATATTTAAAGTTCAAATTTGAACGATAGTATATAATATTTAAACAAACAATTTATTAAAAAATTTATTAAACAACATTACAATTTTAGTTATTTTGTTGTAATTTATAAAAATATTATTCGTAGAAACTTGAAACTTATACCTATATATTATTATACTTTGTATACAGAATGATACTTTAACAATATTTAAATTCATTTTTACAATTATTGTTTATTTAAACCTTAGAATACTAATCTATTCCCACCATTCAATGGTAAGTCAGTACTTGGTATTGATTCAAAATTGAATAACTATACAAATAAATACGTAGATACTACAATAAATGGTAATATAGTTTAAATTATGATGAAATTTTATATTCACACATGAATTAATAATTTCGCTAAACAATGATTTTTGTTATTTTGTTGTAATTTAAAAATACTTATTATTTTGTTACCAAAATTTAAAAATAACAAAACTTTAAATTGTATATGCAATGTAAAAAAGGATAAAAAGCCGGTAATATATGTAAAAAATTTAATGAACAAATTTATATCATAATCTTTTCTTAAATTATAATAATTTTAATGTTATTACCAACCCTATAATTATACTTAAGCTGCATTAAATGTTAAACAAGATATTTAGATATATAAATATAATATAGATGTATGCTAATGGACTTAATAGCTGAAGCCTTTACTTCTAAAATTGAAATCGATCACTACTAAAACGCTTACTGTTATGATCTGTTGTGTGGTATTTTCTATAAGTTTTCTTTTTAGTTTAATAACGTCTCTCAGGCGTTCTAACTCCGCCGGTGGTTCATACTTTGGATTTTCTCTCTGCTCATCAATTTTAATATTGCTTTGTTCTTGATGAAGATCTATGGTCTTCTCTGGCACGTAATTTTCTTTTTTCAACTCTTTGGCCATCATTTTCTGCGTTCTTAATTGTATAATTGTTTTGATTTTTTGTTGGTATAATTTGTTAAACTCCTGATTTTTCCTAGGTGGTATATAGTTTCTTCTATATTCATCGAATTGCTGCGCAAATACAATAATTTGAATTAATACAACGAGGACAGCAAGGGAAAAAGCATAAAATCAAAAAAATCTTATCTTACTCTATTATTAGGACATTAAATAAATAGAGAATTATGTTTTGCTTATATATCTTGTGGCATATTGTCTATTGCGATATTAAATACAATATTCATTAAAAATTTAAAAAAAACTTTATTTAAATACACACAAATATAATAGATAATAATCAAAAATTAAGTATGCTAGTATGCACTTTGCAAGTTTATAATCTATGACACTATAAACTATTTAAATTCTATGTAAAGTATATTGATATGTGCGTACAGTTATATAAAGATCTTAATAAAGATATTGGTATAGGTATACCTATGTTATCGAAAAAGCCCCAACATTAAGTAAAGCTAGTCTTTACTGACCTTAAGTACTAACTGTCTCTATAATCAACTAACCGTACTCAGTAAAAGTTGAAAACATAATTGTATTCGAGCTTTTGCTGAAAAAGTTTTGTAGAGTCTAAAATAAACAAACCGTAACATTAAAATTTGATTGGCCCATAACAGAAAACCACTATGATTTTATAGATTCCGAGCATAGGGATAAATCATAAATATATTTATTTTACTACAATGTGTGTTTTTTCTATTAATTATTTATTTTTAGGACTTTCTTTTTAGCAGAAAAAATTCTCTGATTATAAGCTTTGATAGAGGCTTTTGGTAGCGAATTTGATTTAATGAGTACTTCCTGAAGGTAAAATTATAAACCTACAATAATTTACATTCAGTAAATTCGTTACAATAAGTTCAATAACGAAGTTTACTCGAAACCTACTGTATAGCAAAGTCGTAATATCTACTTCATAGATTTTTTTTATGAATAATTCAAAAATTAAAATTAGGTCAGGTATATATTTTTTAATTAAATTATTTATTTGTTTTATTTGAAAATTATAATTATACACTATCAAAACAAATGATTACTACTGAATTGATTTTAATTTTTTATAAAATAATTTAAAAAAATTAATTATTTATTTTTACAAGAAACTATATTGTGATTTGTTCTGCTTAGTAAAATTAATTAACGACACTTGTTAAAAATCATATCTGTTATGGATTAATCAAGGGTTTTACTCTCAACGATATTTTGTTCTTTATAGATTTAACAAAGCGTAAACAATTAAATTTAGAATAAAATTATGCTTTTCAACTTTTTCTGAATACAATTTGTATAAATTCTAACATGAAATAATAAAGTCTAGTTTTATTTAGTGATTATAGGCTTAATTGGTAACCTACGTATTTGGATCTATTTCTAAATTATTTTATTATTTATCGTTTTGAATCATATTAAATGTGCGTACATACCTTGACGATATTATAGTATTCTTTTATGTTTGTCATTAACTGTTGATTGAGTATATCAGATCTGCTAAGTAAAACTGTTTCAAAGTAGTTACCGATATATCTTTCTAATTCCTCGGTGTATTTGTGCATTGAGCACGTCAATATCTGTCTATTGGCGTACATACCTTCTTGTTGTTTTTGCTACAAAAACATACAAAATTACAACATTATAGTTTATAATAATTCTATTAATATTTAAAATATACCATAGACCGCATGCATATAGACTTTATTAGCCGGGTATAAAAAATAAAACATTGGATATTCAAAAATAAAAAACCAAATCTCTTTTCAAGAAAAAAAAATACAATCACTTTATTTATTGTTGTTAAAATATAAAGTAATATTCGTACCTATAAGTGACTTTTTGTATCACTAAAATATTTATTGACTTAAGCTTATAAGTAGTCACCTATTTACCGATACACTGATATTTATCTTATTTATAACTTCTAAGTTCTTTAATTTATATTTATTTTTAAAGTCATTTTTTAAAAACGAAATTATACTTTTTTTTATATTAAGTTCTTTAGGAAAAATCTATTAAGAGGATATAAATGAGCTCTTTTTTGTTTTCAGGAAGTATTTTAAGCAAAATGGAAAATTATTATTAAATTTTAATATTTTACTAACTCATAACTTACTTAAAAATTAAAATTTTGTAAAAGTCTAATGAAAAAAATCTTACCATATAATTCAATAATAATTATCTAATATTTAAGCTGACAACAACATAAAATTGTAACTGCTGAGTATTAGTAAATTATGTGTTAGTAAGACGAAAGAAAAATAATATGTAGGTAAGTATGACGCCCTCTTAATAAAAAATTAATTCGAATACTAATTTTTGGGATTTTTATGATGTATCAAAATTTTTAATTACTCATTTTTTTCTCCTTGAACCTACCATACCCGTGCGTTTTATTGCTTACGTTCAAAATATAATACAATAAGTTATGAGTTGATCATAGTTTTGAAATATATATCTTAAGTAAAAAATTTTTTGCTAATATCATTGATATTAAGGATGCGCTTTTGTAGCAATAAAAGTCTTTATTGTTGTTATGAGATAAACAACTTTCTTGACATTGTTAAAGCCATGTTTATTCTACATTTTTTTAATTTATAGATTTATTTAATGAACTATTAAAAACTTAAATTTAAATTACTAATTTTTAACTTAGAAACTACTATATATTTTAGAAAACTCTATGACAACCAATTAGGTGTATATTTTATCAAAATAATAAATATTTTTACTGCAATCATTATAATAACTACGATGTTCTTATGGAACGTCTAAAGAATTAATTAAAAACGTTTATTTTTATATTTAAAATATTTTTTGTGTTTGTTACTACGTTTTTAAATGATGCACAATAACTAATAACAATTTATGATGACATTTTTTAGGGCATAAAATATATTTTAAAGCGCATATGTTAACGCATTTTAATACTTTATTTATTATTTTAGTATTTAGTATCAAACCCATTACGATGGTTATAACTTAAAACTTTTAAAACCAACTCGTCGAGTTACATTGCACCTACCTTGAGGTCGTTCGAATTCTCTAACACCCGAGTGATCTTGTCCATCATGGTAGCCCTTTGCTCGATCCTCTGAGTAGCTGCCTCGTATTTAGTTCTAACAAAGTCCGTGTCCTCCTTCAGGCGCGCTAACATCTGTTCGTATTGGACTTGCCTGCGTTCGTACAGTGCGTTCACGACGGCCCAATAGCTGTTCACCTCGGTCATCAGCCGCTGTTTCTCGGCCACCAGCCGATCCACGGACTGCTGGCGTTCTACGATCAGACGGCCGTTCTCGCCAAGTACCATCTCACGTCGTTCCTTAGTACCGACGTATTCGGCCTCGCTCGCATCTAGGGCATCCCTTGCCTGGTGGTGCTCGGTCCTGGCATCGGCCAATCGTCTATTCAGCTGCACTAACTCCTCTTCGTAATATTCCCTGGTTGTGTTTGGGTCCTTGGCCGGCGCCTGCACCTCGGCCGCCTCCATTAATTTTATAACGCTCGACGTCGGCTTTTAATAAGCGACGACACAAATTTTAGTTGAAAATTTTGATTGTTTTCTATAATTAAATACATTCTAATAAAAACATACATAAAACTAAACTCTGGTTTCTATGCAATATCACGGGTTCGCCAGTTTTAGGGAATTTTGATTATTTTATTTTGATATTTTTTCTTTGAATTCGTTCATTTATTCGATTTCTTATAGAACATTTCACAATTTGTTTTTACTTATTTTAATAATGTTACGGACAAACTATACCAATTACAAACGAACGATATTATATTTAATTTTTATAAAATTATATATTATAATTTATAATATAATATACTTGCCGTTAGATTTGCGACTTCATACGTTAAAAACATACGCAAATTTGTAATATGGCGTTATATTGGTGTATTAGTATAAACTGTAAGTACTTATCGGTTTATGGCCCATTTAGTGTAATAGTTTGTCTGAGATCGGCTATCCACCTGCAGCCAATTGGATGTAGTACTTTATTTCTTAATATATAATATATACTGTATATTAAGATTTTAATGAATTTTTACATTTTTTACAATTTCTAGGGAATCAAAGCACTAGTCATAAATATTTACAAAAATTTATCATGTCTAGAAAATATGAATACAAATATTTAGTAATAAGATCACTATACAATTGTAATATAGTTATCAAAATTAAGTAAGTCATATTAGTGTTAATTATGTATTTATTTTATAAAGGGAAATTGGAAAATTTATAACTCCTTTCCCAAAAAAATAAAGAAATGTATTTGTCAGTCGTCATTAAGCCGAAAAATAATTTAAAAATAGTTTTCGTAGTCAATCAAATAATTAACTTATCAACTTGTATATTATATAATTTATTAAATTAATATTATTTTTTTATTATAAATATTCGATAGAAGACAAAATGTTAACATAACAATTAATAATTATTGTGCAAAGTTTAATTCTTGAACAATTAGTCATTCTGAAACGATTATCGAGATGCCAGGAAGCTATATTCAAAATTGAAACTTATGAAAACCTTACCAAAATATGGTTCCATTTGAATCTAAGAAATAAATATATTTATGCTATAATTTATAAGTTTATAATGTGTGTGTAAGATAACAAATAATATAAATGTAGGTACATTAATTATTAATATTAAAATATAAATCATTATTTTACAGTCACTTTTAAAGGATGTGTGTAAAAAATAATAAGTAATTAATTCAAATAAAACTTATTAGCTACTAACCAAAAATTAAAATTAAAATCTATTTTAATGAAAACCAGATGTTAGATTATGTTTAAGTTTTTAACTATTTAGACTCTAGAGTTATCAAAAACACTATTTTGAACCAAAACCAACTTTCAAATCTAAAATAAAAATAAGAATTTAATTAATTTTCGTTTATATATTTTAAGCTTAGGATTTGTACGATTATTACGAAAATTAAATTACATAATATATAGCATAATTATATTTCAAACATTTTTTTAACAACTTCGCATTAATATATTTCAAAAAAAAATGTTCAAGAAATTTTTAAAAATTTCCTTCAAATAATATTTCAAAAAAAATAATAATCATTAATAATTTTTCAAAAATTTCAATAAAATATTAGTTTATTATGTATCTCAATCACGTTGATTTAATATAATTAAAATAATATACGGGTATATTAATAATACTCAGTATAGGCCGTATCAATGACAATAACGCAACATAAAAGACAAAAGTATATAAACTGGACAGATTAATGTCTGAAATCTCATAAATGAGTACGACAGTACGAGTTTTTTTATTAATCTGCAAAAAAAATTCTATAAATTTTAAATGTTAAAGCTATCAAAACTTTCTGGAGAGACGTAATATTGTCTTATAACAAACTATGCGATATAATAGATAAAACATCTCGCATACGTTTATGTATACATAAATATCAATTTTTAAATTAGCACGAAACATCTACCGACCAAGTAAAAAAAAAATAAACTGTGATTGTATTGGCAACTACCTGCTCATTAAAATCTTCACATAAAATAATTTAAAACACGACAGTACTTCGTATCACTCATCAAGGTTCTTAGATGAATACGTATAGTGTGGCATATTTTATTATTATTATTATAAGTATAAAGAGAATTTGATAACTGTTTGCTCATTATACTAGTTTTTTTTTTTTATTGTCGTTTTAAAACATTGTTGTGTAAAATAAGAAAATATCGTGACCAACAGTTTGAGATTTAGTACTATATAATTTGTAATAGAGATTTCGATGGATATTATGATTTATGAACATTGTGTATTTATGTTAAGTCTTGAAAACAAAAATATTATCAAAATAACAATCTAAAAATATTTTACAATTTGTGAAACTACCTAAATGCAATAGTATAGCATCTTAATTTAATCAATGCTATGTAGTACATGGTAGTAATAAAATTGTTATTATATGTAAATTAAATATTAGAAACTAATAATTAAGTAAATACAACAATATTATAGAAATTGAAATTATGTATAAGTATGAATACCGAATGCCATTTATAAAATATTGTTTCCACAACTAATATTTGGAATGTCATTACTCATTAGAAAATCTTTTCGTTGCTAATTTGCTATACATATCAATGCATTTATTATAATAAAGTACCTTGTTATTTATTTATGTCAGACCATATTCCAATCTAATTAACGGTCAAAATTATAATAACATATTTTAATATTGTACGGTGACGGTGGAAAATGTCGATGAAAGTAGAATTCGGCGTTGAATTTCAATAAAACTTGGCGTTTGTACTCACGCCTTTTAAAAAAAATTTATATATATTTTAAGACTTCAAATAGATAAATAGTATTTAAGCCTTCAACTAACTATGCTAAGCCTTCTAACTATTTAAGCTCAAGTTTTAAAAGTTAAGTGCACAATAACAAATAACAAAATAATTATTTATATCAATATGTGCGAAAGCGGTCCCCAAACAAGACTATCGCACTCGTGATTTTGACATTTGGTATACAATATACATTCTATATCCGAGGATGTGCACTTCGAAGTCAAAAATCAATATTATAATAATGGAATTTGGTGTTTAGATTAATTAGGTGATTTAAGCTTTGTTGTCTTGGATAATTTTATGGTTTTTAATTCTTATTCGGAATCAAAGTATCAATTGTTTCTTTAGATGAACTTGTGATGGTGCTTGATGTATATGTTTAATATGTTTATATATTTAAATTAAATAGTAACAAAAACTATAATTTTGATCAAATTACTTGATTGAAACGGGTATTTGGTGTGTGTATGCGTAATAAAACTTACAATTTTTTAATATTAACACATATTATTTTTACCAAATTCAAATAGCCTTATTCCTTACAAGTGACTTTGATTAAACTATTTTTCAATTTCGAAAATTTATTATCTTAGTGTCTCACAATAATTTTAAGTTGAGGATAAGGGGGAGGAGGTAGCTAACTTAAACACTAAAGATATTTGATATTATGTAAGAAAAAATTACTATAATATACTCGTTAAATAATAAAATAATATAACAATATTAAACAATTATTTTTTTTTTAAATTTAGAAAAAAACCAAATTTGATTTAATTATAATCATGTATTCCTATGTTAATTAATTATTATGATAAAAAAAAGATTATTTATTAGTTGGTTAAACAAAATAATTGGGCTATTTGAATTTTGTAAATAATAAAACAATAATTAATGTTTCCTTGTACCTAAAAAAAATTTAATTTTATTAACAAAAAAATCTAAAAATTAGCCTAGAATGCAAATTTACTTATTAGAATACTCGATCTTCTACAACAATTCTCGTTTTAATCTAAGGTCATCCTTAGAAATATTTCGTGCTAATATGAAACACACTGCAGTATACGACATACGCGTACCACTTAATACAAGAATAAAATATACCTAGTAATAGTTATTAATCACAAGTACAAAAATAATATTATCCAACAAAGACCAAAGTAAGTAGTGGCTCAAACAACTAGTGGCTACAACACCGGGTTTTGAATCTGAGTCATTAATGACACTACATAGACATCATACATTCATGCCGGACTGCCGGAATTCAGAAGTGAAAGTAAATATTATTATTTATTATATTAGTCGCTATATTGAACGCCGCTGGGATTTTCCTGTACCGCGAAATTATTCAAAGGTCGACTGCATATTGTTGACATCGCCAATAATTTATCAATATAAAACGTTGTGGATTAACCAATACGTCGATGTCCAGTTTGTAATAGGTAATTTTATGTTTGTAAGAAATTAAAATAGTAAATGAGTACTTACGCGTGTCCAAAATCATTACGAGCGTTTGGTTAAAATAATATTTGATTGAACTATTATACTCGTAATATGTAATGTCATAAAAATCATAGCCATATTCATTATACAATAAATTTTAAAATTCAATTTACATCAATTAATATGTTATATAACATACTGGTAAAACGGCATGTATCGATTAGAAATTTAAAAACTCGATGCTTATTGGGTACCTAAGCGAATTGTTAAACACATAAACTAGTGATTCCAATCCAGTTTAAGAGAATAAATATTTGAATACATCGGTACAGTAATAATTTTATTTTCACAATTGCTTTTATCCACTCGGCGGCACTCAATTGGTTAAACTAAACAAAAAAAAAAAATTAAGAACACTAGCAACTAAATCTAACTGTTTCAAGTATTAAATACTTATTAGTTAATTTTAATACTGAATAAATACCTTAAATTGTATATAAAAATTATATTTATTGGTTGAAGAAAAATAATAATTATAAAAAAAAAACATTTTTGATAATTTGTTGACTGCTTATCGATAAATTTGATATCGCAAGTTATCAAATTATTCAAAAATGATATTGATAACAAATATTTATAATGATATCCGTCAGTATCGAAATCCTTGGACATCATTATTATTGATTATTGAATTATGTGTCATATATC